ATCGGGTTGCCCAACCTAAGTTGCACCCCTAACTTATATAGGTTACAATTCTAATTAGGGCAAATCTCGAAGGCATCTTCTCCATATCCTTGAATGTATATAATTCAAAACCCTAAGTAACATATTAGCTCGCGTTTCGACAATTGACCCATTATCTTCGAAACTGGTGGGTTTCTCCATATATTGAATGTGAGCCACCTATTTTAACACAATGTAAAGCGATGGTGGCAACTACCTTGGTGGCAACCGTACTGTAGAATCCCACATCACCTGGGTTAGATAGGCGACCCTAAGGTCGTAAATTGTGGTAACTCAGTCCCGCATCTCTCTTGAAGTTTGCGTGCTTTATAAATATGGGCTCTATACATTCACCATCCAACAATTTTTACAACGATGCATCACTAGTCCAAAGTGACTAATATTATACAAGACAGACCTACAACTACAAATCCTCATGGTGTAGAGGCCATATAGTCTATGCTCTTAGTGCACCCCGATCAGACAGGGTGGATTATGCAACTAACAACATTGTGGAAACCATGCATCATTTGGAATTCCACAACTGCTAGGTTTAGACAGGTCCCACAAGAGGATGTGTGGATCTAATTAAGGGAAGTGGATTGTCGTAAATCGGTCTTACATCTTATGATGAAGAGTGTGCGCGCGCGTGTGTGTGTGAACACTTTAGAGGCATGAGCTTTTAACTAACATTATGTAACATGTTTTAAAACTACATATATCTAATTCAAAGTTGACAATATCATAAAATAATATAGAATGTAATCTCGGGTAATTGCAAAACCCTTCGCTGAGGGCTATGATTGATGCTTTGAACTTTGGAAGACAACTTAATTTAATGTAATTAGGGTTTGTTAGCAGTTAATTACAAGTAATACTATATGATTATGATCCATCATGTTATCAAATAAGGTAACTAAATTAGGTACAGATAGCATTTTTCGTTAATTAATATGGAGCAACGTGGACGTTATGGTTGTCGTGATAGCCTTGTCATCTTTAAGCTAATTAGCTAGTTTAATCTTTTGTGTTGTACTAGCCTCTCAATCTTATCGAATACGTTTGTTAATATTTGATGGTGTCTTTTCAGAGCATTGGCTAATAATTAGTGAGTTGTGCTGGGGAGTAAATTGATGGGTTCAAGATGGGTGCCAACGTATCGATAGAACGTTTTATTATAATTCAAACATCACGGATTCGAGTCATTAAAATAGTTAATTGTTCATGCATGGGGATAAGACTTCAATCATCTCTAAATTTTGCTACGAGAGGAACCAAGTAAATTGCTAAGATTTCTTTTTGGTATATTTGATGGATTTTTTTTGGCATACCATGGATAAAAAATTATTTAATCCTATAACAGATCAATTTCGATGAACAAGCTAATAAGACAAGAAGGCAATGTAAAATGGTTGGAATTGAGGTTTATCATCTAATATCTATTCTACACATGATTCTTCCAGCAGTCATTGTCTTCAATTCATCATCATCTTTTACCTGCATCTCCTTGTTAATGTTTGGGAATAATTAGGACTATGCAAGTGTTATATCTTGTATTATTCGTATTTCACTATAATTTAAAACGCTGTTGAATTTGTAGTTGGGACCCATTTCTAAATTTTTGAGTTATTTTCTCAACAAAATTTTATTAGTGATTAGC